GAGTATAACATTATAACATGATATAAAACTCAAAAAAGTGGATTTTACATGATATTGCCCCTTTAAAAGAAAAAAGTCACAACAAAATAAAACTAAACTATGATGAAAAAATCCCAAACTATTATAACGTCGGCATTAACACAAAGAAATGTCTAAACAAGCATGGGACTATACAAAAAACAACAGTTGCACAAAACTAAACCTTGATTAAAATATTTAAATATTCTGATAAAACTCCAGCAGAAACTCAGAAAAGACATGAACTTTGGTCCTGTTTTTTTAATGAAAACTGTTTCTTTGTAAGCAGCAGAACAGGAAGCCTTAGAGATTTATTGTGAGAATCAGAGGATTTTACCCTCAATAATAAAATGTGCCGTTGTTGCTTTAAACAGTTTTTATGTCGATACAAAAAGATCTTTTATGGGGCGTCTGAATATCTTTTTATTGAAGTTATTTTATTGGCTTTGAAGAGTTATTTTTTATGAACCTCTGGGTTTATGAAGGCAGTGGGACCCGAGCAGGAGGCTGTAATCCTTTAAGTTCCACCCAAATCCTCCCGAATGAAGTTCTGAGAATATGAACAAAGTGAGCTGATAAGATGAACAAGGAGCTGCCTGACAGCTTTCTGTTTTTGTTTTTCCTTGCTTCTTCCAGCTGACTTTTATTTGCTCCTTCACACTTCAGTAGTTTTATACTTTTACTGTTTAGCAGCTTTTTTTGTTAATCTGAGGCAAATATTTCAGGTGTTTTATTGTTTTAATAATGATGATTTTGACACACACACACACACACACACACACACACACACACACACACACACGTGCATCTGTGCCTTGATTTTGCCCGACGCCGGAGCTGCTCCAGAGTAAAGCCACACAGATCGGGTCTCACCGACAGGAAAAAGAACGAAGCACAACTTCCATATTTTTACAGTAATTAACCAAAAAACAAACCAGTTTTGTCGAAACCCTTCCTATATTAATAAATATATGTAAATATTGATACATAAATGCTGTCAAAATGCATCGTTCTGTTTGGAAAGCTGATGGAAACATGCAGCGTGCAACATATGAATACATAAAACATGTTGATTTTATTTTGAAATGAAAAGTTTCACAAACACAACATGGATATGGTTTCACCTGTGTTTACTCATCTACCACAGAAGGAGTTAGTTTGCGCTGACTTCAGTAATGTGTCTTTGCAGACTCCTTAATGTTTGCTCGTCTGAAGGAAAAGGAGCAGCATCAGTCTGGTTCTGATCTTTCTGAATATCTGCACAAATACTGAGATTAGATTATTGTTTTTAAAAGAGGCTAAAATGTTTTGGCTTAAAACAAGCCAAGAAAGAGAGAGTACACACATTTATTTTGAGGTCATTTAACATATTTGTTTAATATTAAGCTGAATAACAGTCTCGACTTGTTGCTTTCTGTTGCCCTCACAGAGGTTTTGCCAGCGTTTTTTCCTAAATATACTTATTTTCTTGCCTTACGACAGGTTTAAAGAAGCCAAGTTATATTTGAAATGTAACTGTTTAGATCAGAAACATCACCTGATGAAGCCCAGAAGGGTTAACCTGGTGATAAAAACCACTCTGTTGTTGTGTSTGCAGTGACGGTGCTGGAAGGAGTGGAACCTACATCCTGATCGACATGGTCCTCAACAGGATGGCTAAAGGTGGGTGTGGCCTCTTCTCTCTCATCCTCATCATCCTTTTCCCCACTGAAAACAAGAATTACCTGTCATCAGGGTTGTTRTTTCTGTTTTAAGGATATTAAGATAATTAGAGGGGGGTTAGGCACAAATGATGACCGTTTCCYTTAACACAGTCACCGCTCTACGTTCTGCCTCAGAGCAGTGAAAAAAAAACATTTTTTACTCTGTGAGTTCCATCTAGCAGTTTGTTTAAACACTCCTAATGACTCTGTTTCATTACCTCAGTCGGCACTTTAGTGTCATAACGCAGCATCTTTTTTTTCCTCCCCGAATGCCAACAAAACCCAGTTAAACAATAAAATCTGGAGGAAGAGTGGATGTGAATTACACAACTACACAAAGTACTGACATAAAAGCTGACCCTGGACACYTTCACTGAGTTCGACGCAGAACGTATTCTGAAGGATCGGCGTGTTTCAAATAAACGTGATGGATTGTTTACTTCCTGGGGTTTTACTGAGGYTTTTCCAATAAAGCTAAACTMCAGCTGAAACTGTCAGTCGAAACGGGTTCATGTGAATGTTTCTCCCTGAAAGGTGTAAAGGCAGCACAGTGTTGGTGTGAGTAGAGCTTCAGTGTGTGAAGACTAATATGATTAAAGGGGGGGTGTTGTTTTTTCCAGGCACATGGTTCAGTTCTGTCATAATCCAGTAACTATGTTACCTTCAATATCAGATAAATTAGACTTTGCATCATAGGAGGGGTGCGCTGTGGGGCGGAAACTCTGCTGCAAACTGAGCTCCAGGGAGGAGCTTTGGGTAAATGGGCGGAGCTTTGTACCAGTAAGTGTTCAGGCAGCTTCACATGGCTTCAGGAGATTGAAGGATTTCTCAAACGTGCATGAATGAGTCAAGGCAACATTCTGGTATGTTTTAGATGAAGGAATAACATAACGTGATATAAAATCCAAAAAGGTTGATTTTGTGTAACACCCCTCCCTTTAAGTTTATGAAAACAGTTTTTTAAGGATATATAACTGCGCTTTGACTTTTGGAAACAAGTTAATTCATGTATCCGACTCCCGTCTGGCCCACAAAGGAAACCATAAATCCACTTGTGGACATCACCTGTGCAAAGATTAATGCTGCTAAAATGAACTGGAGCAAAGTTACAGAGGTTTTAATAAAAAGTATTTTAGTGTTTTGTCTTTCTGCACAGGACGGACCATGATGGTTCATTAATAAATGTTAACAAATCTGAAGTTTTTACATCCAAAAGTTATTTTTTATTACCTGCCTGAAAAGATTTAATGAATGTTTGTTCTTTTGAAAAAATATCCAAACATTTATTTGTCACCATATATATTATATAAAAG